CATACATACATAAATACACACACACATATATATACACACACATACGCATACATACATAAATACACACACACACACATATATATATACACACATACGCATACATACATAAATACACACACACACATATATATATATATATTTGTATTTGTATGTCGTTAGCCGTGATAGAGTTGGGCCTCAGACTTGCCACCAACCATTAACCGCTGAACTCTCCCCTCTGGAAGGCCTGTGTTTCCCCATGTGTTAGGTGAGAAAGCCAGAGTGCTGAGAGGGGAGGAGGTGAAATGCCACTGTGAGGTCATGGAGAGGGAAGGCTGAGCAGACGTGGGGAGGCTGGGGTTTGGATGGATTGGTTGATCTGCTGTAAAATGACTTTAGCATTATTACATGCTGATGGACCCCAAGAACATCAAAAAGTGAGGCAGAGAAAAGATTGATTTCTCAGGCAGAGGACGAGGGCATGTGGGTGCATGTGTGGACCCTAGGGAGCAGTCTCTCTTGCTTTGTCTCAGAGCAAGGTGAAGGTTAATAAGTCTATAATATTAATATAAAAAATGAATCCATCTTTGGATTGTTCTCGCTTATCCTGTTGCATCACATTTCTGGGATCGAGTCCTCTTCTCTATCTGGAAGCTTCTGCTTTACCCTTCAAGCCTCTGCCTTTGACCAAGTGGGTTCCCAGGGAATTGGATGCCCCTGAGTATTGCAGGGCACTACCCAGTGTGCACCAGCAGGCCCTGCCCTGACTCCTGCAGAGTGGGATGCCCTTTGAGGAGAAGGGCTTTGGTTTGCATAGGACCCCAGACCACTTGCTAAATAAATGATAACACTCAGCTTTGGTTTAAGACATGGTGCCACCCTACAGGAGCCTGCAATTTGGGCTACGTAACTTCAGGGATAAATATGCTAATAGGAGTCATATGGGGGAGAACCATCTAGGAGACATGTTCATGGTGGAGGAGAGAAGAGGCTGGGCAGAAGATGGAAGCCTCAGGGAGAAGGAGTGGGCGGGGAGAGAGCTCGCAAACTAAACAGTAGCGGGAGGTTGTACCAGCCACATGGCTCTGAGTGAAAGCATAGGGGAGTTTTCAACTGAGAAATGTAAGAGAAGCCATTTTCATGGAGAAATTGGCATAAGAAAGGGTGCTAAGGATAAGGAGGGAGGCTGCAGTATTCACATTTAGCAGAAGTGTAGACTATGGGGTAGTGGTGACTTCCTGTCGTAGGTTTTGCTGTCAAGCGTGAGTCTGCATCCTGGCATCCCGAAGCAGTGACAGCAGTAAGGACGAAGCTGGTGGACCCAGGTCACCAGATGGGCTGGCAACATTGGGGAGATATTGAGTCCCAGGAGAATTAGGAAGTGAGTATACACCGTTGGAAAAGTTCACTGACTTCTTCAAAATGATGTCTGCCTTACATTTATACAAAGAGAATTATCTGAACCATGAAGTGCAGGATGACCTGCAGGACGGCAGTGTTTTCCTGGGTCTTACCGGCTCAGTGGTTGAAAGCGAACTAGCAAAACCTGGCTTCTCAGCCTTATTTTTAATAATTGCCTTGACAAAAAGCAAATCAAATGGAAAACCTCTTTCTCTCTCTCTCTTTCAGTTAAGAAAAAGAAGCCTAAACTTCTGAACAAATTCGATAAAACAATTAAGGCTGAACTTGATGCTGCAGAAAGGCTCCGGAAAAGGGTAGGTTGAGGTTTTTGTCTTGCACAAAAATGTGCAATGGTTTCGTCATTAAAATCTTGGGGATTTCAGGTTTGTGAAAAGTGCAGTAACAATGGCAACAGCAACAATAATAAACATAAAAGAAATAACCCATGGTCTTCCCACACACCTCAGCACATTTCTGTGTGAACCGAGTCCCGTGGGGTAGAACTGTACCCAAAGGCCACATTGGAAGAGAATGGCCAGCAGGACCTCGCCTAGCGTCAGCCCACTTCTGTCCAGTTCTGATTACATTGATTCTGCAGCTACTCGGCCATTGTAGGCTTCAGTTTCCTTGTTTATAAAATAAATACCATATGTGTTAGTCCCAAATCCCTCCTGCTTTTTGTAAAACTCAAATTAAAAGAAATATTACCACTGCCAACTGCCAGTTGACCACCAGTCAATTCCGTAGACCTCAGAACAGACACAAGATGTCTCAAGTCCAGCACCTGTGGCCATCAAATGACACAGGCTTCGTGTTCTTCTCACTTGCTCTGTCATTAAGTAATTGGAATGTTCTACATTATCACTACATGCTTCAGCTTTTGAAAACAATGAATTGACATCATATTGAAATCTTATCTCTTTTAGCCTGGCCACAGTCATGTAATATAAGAATAATATAGTCCACAATATGTTTATTATATTGTAGTTGGGATATTAATTAATTATCTGCTTGCTTTTCTTAGAAATTTCATTAGACTATATTTAAATTCATAGTCTGTAGTGGTCATTAGTTTTTCTTTCTTGTGCTTTTCTATGGAGCAGCCATTCGCTGCAGAGAAGTGAGCTAAAGGGATGCATTCAGGGAGCCAGCTAGGAAAAAAATGTGCAAGTTAAGGGTGGAAGTGGGCTAAGTCTGCGCTTCTCACCTGTCAATTGGAAGCAGCAAAAGAAGGAGGCCTCTGTGATCAGCATTAGACAAGACTCCACAGCTGAGGTTTGGTCAACCCTGGTCACCAACAGATGAACACGGTAACTCTAGAGGATGCTGGAGATGGTGGTTGTTCACTGCACCTAGGGTTTGGACAGATAAAATGATTTCTGCATCTGTCTTGTTTCCCTTCATTAAGCAAAGCCATCTATGTTTTGTAGTTGATGTCGTTTGCTTAGGGGTTTTTGTTTGTTTGTTTGTTTTTTTGTTTTGTTTTTTTTTGTATGTGTGTGTGTGTTAGGGTTGGGGGGCGGCGTTGTATTTCTTAATCCAAATGTAGCAGGGACGTTTTCTTTCATCTCATTGTGTTTCCTCCACATTCTCTGCTCTGGATCATGCATGTAAACATGGGGAGGCTGTAGTTAAAGGTGACGTTTGGGCTGAAACATAAAAGGACTTTAAAAAGGAGTTTCCTGTGGTTCTAATGAATGATAAACAGACTGAGTTACCAAGGAGCTCATAAGTCAGTGGGATTTAAAGTGCTGGCACCATCCACAGTGTGTTCTCCAGCCTTGCTCATTTGGAGAAATTATGGTGTTTTCCTTCAGGAGCACTGTGAGTCTGTAAGAGGGCAAATTAAGGAGGAAGGACAAGCAGCCACATCTGCTCTCAAGATACGTTGTGGCAAAAGCATCAACATAATTAAGTCTTGTTTATGACTGTCTTTATAGCTAGTATTTCCAAAGGATACAGTTCAGTATACAGGAATAGTTGAGGATGGAGCCAAGGTGCCCGGAAGCTAGAGCGGCTTCATCCATTTCTCACATCCAAATGCTGCACTGTGCGGAAGCATGTGCTTGTGTTTTGTTATATCCAAACTTGTATGAAATCAGATGACATTTGAATAGTCTAAGTTCCAAAGCTTGACAAGTACACTTCTTGATTCACTGATGTGCATATAATGTGTGTATATTCACATATGTGAGTACACACATGCTGTGCTGTACACGTGGGGATCTGAGAACAATGTGCGGGCATCTGTTCTCTCCTGCTGTGTGGGTTCCCAGCATCAAATTTGGATTCTCAGGCTTGGTGACAAGTGCCTTAGCCTACTGAATCATCTTGTTGTCTCTGAATCACTGGATTTTTTAAAATAACATGTGTTATTTAAAACTTCTCTTTATCTACCCCCACAGGGGTAGATTTAACCTAGATTTGATAATAACCTAATAAAATATATTCCTTCGCTTTTTGGAATTATTTATTGTAAAGGTATTATATTTTAATGGGATTGTTACTATAGTGGTATTATAAATGAAAGGTTTTAAGGGAGGTTTGCACTCTTGGTTGTTGTTGGTGGTGGTTTGTTTGTTTTGGGTTTTTTGGTAGGAGATGGTGGTGGTAATACATTAAACAGAGCCACAGTAGATGAGCACATGGAAGGTCACACCTCAGCCTCTAAATCATGCTACAGATGATGTCACCTCCAGTTCCATGCAGGCAGAATCAGAGAAACAGAAGCAGACTGGAATATGTTGTTTAGCATAATAGCTGTCTGCACTGAGCCCATAGGCACATGCTCTACTGTCGATGCAGGTGGATCGTGAAGGGTCCTGATGATCCCACATCACTCAGGTGGATTCTGCAGTCAGAATGTCCTTTAGCATTGCCCACTGGCTTCACACCAAAACTGTGGCCCATGTATACATCTCTCCAGAGCTGTCTATATATAAAAGTAAGCTGCATTGAGGGACAGCTCATTTTTAGGTAGTTACTTATAAATACCATATGCTTTTCAAATCAGAATAAGTATTGAATAGCAGTATTAGTAGCTAGGAAAGATCTTGAGGGAGAGAAGCTGACTAAAACCAGACACACTTATGTTATAGTCAGCTCATGTGTGAGCACGTATGACGATTCCCTATGAAAGCCACACAGCCTGTTGCTTGAGGCGATCCAAAGGATAAGTTCCCGAGGAGGAATGATGTGCTGTAAAATTTGTTATGAATCTTGTGCACCTGTGGTTTTGGTCTGTTAGTGGTACACTAGTACAATGCCATGAAAGGGGCTTTGGCAATACCATTTTGGATATGATAGAAGCTGAAATGGTCCACCAAGAGATGACCAAATGCTAATCCCCAGAACCCGTACAAGTTTCATTAGTTGGAGAAAAGGTCCTTCAAATGTGATTACATTAAGGACTGAGACAAGTTATGCTGGATTCTCTATGTGGTCCCTAAGTGTAGCCATGTTTCCTTAAAAGGGGAATTTGATTCAGGAGGTGGCACACACAGAGAAGAGAAGCTGTGGGGATAGGACTGGTGTTGCCACACGTCAAGGGACAAGTGAAGAAAGGGGTGGACTTCCCGCTGGAGAAAGCATCGTCTTGGCAGAATCTTTATTTCAGCCAAGAAAAAGTAATTTTGATATCTACTTGCCCAGAACCTTGAGAGAACAAATTTCTCTTGTTTTAAGCCACCAGATTTATGGGGGTGTGGTCCCACATCCATAGGAAACTAAGGCCCACACTGGTGGACTGAACATTGACCCCCCTCAAAAGATAACCCTGTTTCCTGGGACCCCTAAGTGTCGCCTTGGAAACCTCTTTCTAGGTGTGATTTTCATGGGCTGTCTGGAAAGTACATGAATGTGTCCTTCCTAGAAAGGTAAACGGAGATTTGGTCCAGATGGAGGACAAGACAGACAGATGTAAAAGAGGGCTCTGTGAAGACAGGAGAGCGGAGCGAGGCAGCCACAGGCCAGGGAATGCCGGCAGCGTCAGGAGCCAGAGTGGCATGAACAGATTCTTCCCTGGAGCCTTTAGGTCTGTTAGTGGTACACTTAGCACTTGATTCCAATATCACAAAACCAGTTTCAGCCTTCAGTTCTCCAGCTATGAAATTTGCAGTAATTTCTTACCTCCCCCATAGGACACTGATGGTATTTATTTTTAAAGAACCGTAGAGAAGGCGGCATGAGCTCATGCATGCCACAGAGGCAGCCATGTGTTCCACACAGCCGGGTGAGCCAAATCAACCTTGACTTCTACCGGAGACCAATGCCCTGGCCAAGTGGCCCTGACGGCCTTCTTGTTTATTCTTCATCCTTTCAGGCACTTCCAAGCTGTGGTGACATCATTGCCTCCAACGGGCCTGAGGCATCCTTCTGCCAGTGTTGTTTGTCCCCATGTGTAACTTAAATGTCTTCATTAGGAAAACATGTGGGGACACTAGAGATTGAGGACAATGTGGTTATCGTCAGCAAAATTCATGTTTCATCATTTTCAGCTCACCTCATTTTAAAAATTAAGATATACTCATACAGTTTTATGTTTGTGCTTGACACAGCTTTGTTTTAACAAAGCTAATTATTCACTGGGGTTATATTTACGGAGTTGTTCCTCTCTAACAGGGTAAAATTGAGGAAGCAATGAATGCGTTTGAAGAACTGGTTCGCAAGTACCCTCAGAGTCCACGAGCGAGATACGGCAAAGCACAGGTACCTTGGGCCCATCTCAGAACACTTGCCTGGCGTTCACATATTCTGTGTTATCAGATTTTTCACTCTTTCACATTTGCTTTCTAATTTCTTGGTCATTTCCCAAGTATATATATCCACCCAGGGAAAACACGCCATTTTAATTGAGGTAGCTTTCAATACTGTATCTGTCCAGTCTAGTGGCATCCAGATGACTTGTCTCTGGTGTTGCAAATGGACACCTTTGCCATGGGTCCTCTGTCACCCTACGTCCCTTCCATTCGAATTTTCTCATGGTTTTCATTTCGGGCTCTTTGAAGCTTTTAGGCTCCGTTGTGTGACTGGTGATAATAAGTCTGCCTTTTAGAGACCTTTTAAATATGTGACATGGATGGCACTTTGCTTCTTGGCAGCTTCTTTGACTTCACTCATTTCTTACCAGCCACAATCTCCCTCGTCATTCTTTCTCCACCATCTCCTCTTCTGAGTTTTATCATCTCTCAGCTCCTGTCACAGGCGTGGCCATGCTCACCTCTTCATCCAGCTCCTGTCACAGGCGTGGCCATGTTCACCTCTGCATCCAGCTCCTGTCACAGGCTTGGCCAGGCTCTCCTCTTCATCCAGCTCCTGTCACAGGCGTGGCCAGGCTCTCCTCTTCATCCAGCTCCTGTCACAGGTGTGGCCATGTTTACCTCTTCATCCAGCTCCTGTCACAGGTGTGGCCAGGCTCACCTCTTCATCCAACTCCTGTCACAGGCTTGGCCATGTACACCTCTTCATCCAGCTCCTGTCACAGGCTTAGCCAGGCTCACCTCTTCATCCAGCTCCTGTCACAGGCTTAGCCAGGCTCACCTCTTCATCCAGCTCCTGTCACAGGCTTAGCCAGGCTCACCTCTTCATCCAGCTCCTGACACAGGTGTGGCCAGGCTCACCTCTTCATCCAGCTCCTGTTTTGCATTTGTTTGATAGTCAGTCAGCTATGGACACAAACATGGCTGGACATAGGAGTTTGCTGTATTCCTGACCTTACGATAGGAAGCTGAGGCCCCATGCTCTGCCACATGAGAAGATGGCAAATGAAGGGAGGTTTAGCATGATCTTTGGAGGCTTTCCATGAGAAAAGCAAGGTGAGGTAGAGTTCTAAGTCCAGGATTGCCTAGTGTGGACAGGGCTGTAGGAATGGCTTCTAATTGCTGAGCATCTAGCCCTTGGGTGACCAAGGCAAAAGATGTCCCCTCCTGTGGGGTAAGGTCAGAGAAAGGCCAGGCTCTGCACTGCATGGCTTGCATATCTAGGTGTATTTGCTCCTTTGCCCTGTCTCCGACAGCAAGCCCTAGACATTTCTGAGGTGTCAGTTGTTATAATAGGCAGACAACTTGAAACTGTTTCCCGTATAACATAAGGAACAACTGAGAGCTACTGACTCTAAAGACAGGTAGTGAGAGCCACTGTGTGTCAGCCTCTGCTGGGATTGGAGAGAGGTCCCTCCAAACATGGACTCCCAAAGCCCATTGTGAAGGAGAGAGGCTGCATAAGACAAGGAGTACCATGCATGGACTTGCCAGTGGCGGCTGTGAGGAGAATAAAAAGGAAGTAGGGAACAGCCACTGGACATGGGAGGGGTCACTGCGATGGACAGGGTGGCAGAGAAAAGGCTCACCAGGGAGACAATGCTTGAGTAAAGCCTTGGGTAGTTTTTTATAAATGAACATATTTTTGAATCTTACAAGGTATTACAAATAAGCAATCAGAACACATTACCTCACAATGCATGCCGTAAGCAGGAGCAGAGGAGACTATGGGATCTACAAACACACTTCTGAAGAGTCTCGGCTGCAGGATGTGAGTGAAGCTGGCGGAACAGACTGCGCTTTCCTCGAGGAGCTGGGAGCTGAGACGTGTCAGGGTCATGCAGGAGCTGTCCTGGTAGAGGGGACAGACAGACACAGGCCAGGATTCGGGGCAGCTCTGTTGGCATCAGAAACCCGAACAGAAAGAGAGGCCTGCTGGGCCAGGGGACAGACAGGGAGGCCAACAGCTCCTCGCAGCTCTCGTTTTCCGTGCCGGGGGAGCCTTTGGAGGCTATTACTCATGAAGGTGACCATCTGGTGGCCTTTTGTAAAGATTGCTCTGGTTGCCAGTTGGAAAATGGATTATGAGAGCAGAATCAGATGCACAGAATGTAGGCAGCTGTCACAGTGTGGCTGCCTGAGATGCTGGTGCCGTGGACTGTGACCTGGCCATGGATGGGGCTAAGGGATAGATTAGAAAGGACTTCAGATGGAAGGGTCAGAGAAAAAGAATTGACCAGACTCCTGGTTTGTCCTGAATAGCTGAGGAGAAGATAATGCCAGTTACTGACCAAGCAGAACAGCAGTTGAGCTGAAATTTGCAATTGCAGTGGTTATCAGGTATTCATATGGTGTGTCAAGGAGACCACTACATTTATGGATCTCAAGAGTAAAGTCAGAGCTGGTAGAAAAAAAAATGATGTCAAGTAGTAAACTTCGTGGAGGAGAAGGAGGACTGAAGTCCAGCTTCACCAGGGTTCAGGCCCCAGAGAGGAGGTGTGAAGTTGGTGGTGGTGGGGGAGGGGGGGAGGGATGGCCGCACATCTGAGGGTTCAGCAGCTCTCTCCCTCAGCCAGAGACCATTTATTTATATAGCATATTGATTACACAAGTCATTTGGCAAGCATCAGAGCCTGGGGTCCTTTTTTACTTCCTCATTAAATTTCCAGGGTAAAGTCGGGCAGTGGTGGCACACGCCTTTAACCCCAGCACTCGGGAGGCAGAGGCAGGCCGGTCTCTGAGTTCAAGGCCAGCCTGGGCTACAGAGTGAAATCCAAAACAGGCACCAAAACTACATGGAGAAACCCTGTCTTGAAAAGAAAAAAAATGTCCAGGGTGAAAAAGTAAAGTACAGGGCAGTCTTATCTAAAACAACACCTGTGGACAGTGGCTGTCAAATCAGGAAGTTACAAATTTCTCAGGGTCTGCAGGGTATAGGACCTTCTATTTTTTTTTACAGCCTATGTCTAGGCTACCTCCTTATGTGGTTTCAATATGTTAGACAATCTGAAATTATTTTTACCTTAACTAAGTTCCGTGTAGAATCATTTGATGTTTTCTAAAATGCAAGCTTTATAAAATATGTCATAGTAAGCACTCAACTGGCATTTTTCTGTTCCTTAGTTTTATAGTAGGGACCTGTTCTTTTATATGCTCCCAGAAAGGAAGACCCTTGTATAGGGCTTCATTAGAGGGCAATGGATATACTTGTGACATCTTGTATCCAGAGCTGAGCATGACGTTTCTCAGAATCCACCCTACTGGTACCACAGTCCTTGGGGCACAAGGAAGACTCTTGTGACTCTCCTTTCTGGCCAAGACCTCTTGTCTTAAAATTTTCCCTCAGGAACATGAATATATTTCCTGGGGGGCTGGATAAGCAGAAAACTCACCATTATGCAAAGAACTCCTAAAAGCAAAAACAGAAGCCTCCCGCCTTTGATCAAATCTCTTGATGAAGTTTAGCTGGAACTTCATCAAGCAGTGTCCTCCGCCTCAGGACTCGAGCCATCCCTGGTACCTTGGCCTGCACCGAAGGAGATGACCAGGCAGCCTGGGAGCCATGGGTAGAGAGCTACAGAAGTTAGTGGACCCAGGAGAAGCAGACAGTATCCCCTTGGGTGTGACCCTCACAGCTAGTGTCGTGTCTATAGGAGGACAGCATGTCTCACTCTTAAATGAAGGTGGAGGCCACGAGATCCAGCTGCTCAGAGTCTTTCTATCCCATTAGAAAGTAATTCATTCAATTTCATTAGTTAAATTTACCTAAATCAAATTTGTAAAACAATTGATACAAATAACTTTCCCTTGTCCTTGGTACATACCAGGTATAATGCATAGCAACTGTGTGGTTTTGGTAAACTACTTGGGTATTGTTGAGAAACTAAGTTGCTATTGAGAGAGAAAGTTTATCACCAAAAGATTTAGAATGTCCAGATAAGTGATGTGTTTTGTGATTAATATCAAGTCCTTTGATTATGGAAAGCCCATTAACTGGAGTGAAAATGGTTGTGCAAATGTTAATTATGGCAAATTAATTTGTACTTTCCAAGTTTTCTCTGTATGTGATTTTAATCATGGTTACTGGAGTCTCTGGAATGTAGTGATCTCTGTATGTGCGGTTTTCTTTCACAGGAGGAATTTGAGATGTGGGCCTCAGGCAGTACTTTTTAATCTCTAAGATATTATGCTACAGATGTTATTGATATTAACACTAATGTGGCATAAAATAAAAGTTGAGCATGGCAAATTAAATTTTAATAGAGTAATTTAAAGGAAACTTTAAATTTATAGGAGTTTTAAAAATAAAAATAGACAAATTTTGTAAGAAGGACTACATTGTGGCTTTTCCAATTCTCAGTTAGCAAATTAAGCAATTTCTTTGCAATATCGCAACAGATCTTAAAGAGTCAACACCAAGTCAAATACAAACTACAGTGTCTATATTTTTAAGTATCACTCATTATATCTTACTCTTTGATCTCTGAAACTCAATTTTGACCAAGTTCTCTAAACAGTGAACACAAAAATCTTAAATTATTAACTGAATTCACTTCATTATCTTTCACAAATCATTAGTAGCTCTGAGGTACAATGTGACATGTCCCTTAGGAAGTTTGAGCGAATTAGTCCATCCACAGAATGTGACAGAAATGTCCTGTGACAAAAGCTCATTCTCAGCCCGGCTTGTGTGATATATAGATATAAAACTGTCCAAAAAAAAGAAAAAAACAAAAAACCTAAGCATTCTACACATTTCCAATTCTAAACAAATGCTGCTAGTTTCATTTATCAGAGTTCTTAAGAATTTTATGTTACTTTGGTATTTATACTCGTCTAAAGTGAAGGAGCCAGGGGCTGGAGAAGGGACAGACAGGCACATGCATTGTAGTATGTGTTTCTCTTTCCAGTCTGACTCTGAAGGAGTTGATGGATTACTGTGGTTGGCATTTGCAGAGACCTCAGTTCTGTTGGGTGGCTCTGCAGACTCCAGATAGAGTGGGTTCACTAGGTGGTCTCTGTGGAATTCCCTCAGCTCAGGGACATTGCTTCTGTTCAGCCAACTATCAGTATTCATGGTCTTGGAAGTTAACTCACTATAACCAAACTTGCAGTAAGCTGAGGGTTAAGCAGAGAAGCTGGTTGTGAATAGCCAGAGGAAGGAAGGATGTGTGGCTAGGACGGATTACTGACATGGGACTTCCTTTCCTGTGGCTCGGTGTGCTGGGTGAACTTACTGCAGACTTGACAAGTTAGTGGAATTATCTGACGTGTATGTCCATCAAGCAAGGATGATCTATCACAGCTTCCATGTGAGCCCTCATTAGCCTGGGAATCTTATCCTAATCAATGCATGCTAGCACATTATTTTATTGATGTGCTATTTTCTGAAAAGAACATTCTCACAGATGTCTTTATCGATTGAGGTTGGTTCTTAAAAATAAATGACTTGCCATCTGAGGGAGGAGATATAAGGATTTTCTTACCAAGTTCTCAGACTTCACATATTAACCCAGCATACATTTTATGTTAAATAGTAATTATATTCACATATTCTGATTTAAAAAGCTTATATACTACTTTCAGCATCAAACTGCTATAAATTTTCTTGAATGCTGATCTTTAAATGAAAATCTGTAAGATCTGATAAGCTATTGAGGTCCATCTTATGCACACCGCCCCCACTATTTTTCCTGCCTCTGGTATTTCATTCCCAGTTCTCAATCTCAAGTTATGAATTTTGGGTATAAGAAAATAAAAGTGTCCAGAGACTCTACCCTCTCACACAATTGTCCTGATACCTTGTACCCATCCATTGACAGGTATGAACTATCCTGCCCCCTCCCTTCTCACCTGTTAGAAGACTTCATGTGGTTTGTGTCCTCTCTTGTCATCAGATTTTCCCTTTCTTCTGGGTCTTTGCATCTCCTGAGAAACATGGTGTACTATCTCATCATGAAGACTTTTCCCTGGGCTCTCACCTCCCCCACATCTGTAGACACATGTTCTGGCTCCTGTTACAGCTAGCCTTTTTGAAGGAGTTACTTCCTCCTCCCTCTAGCCTCCCATGTTCTCTTGACGCAGCTCCATTCTGATGCATGTCTTCAACAAACCCACGGAAACAATGATGTCAGGGCCACTGAGCATAAGAGAAGTCCATTACATTCTCTTCACTGTCCTCCTCCTGTCCATCTTGGTGCCCACTTGGAGCATACTTCTTCTCTTCCTCTTAAAACCTTCGTATTCCACTTGGCCTCTGGAGCATTGCTGTGTATTGTAGAATATTATTTTAAGATGTGTTACATTTGTTTGTGCTGTGGAACATTTGCTTAATAATGCAAAGATGTGTTGTATTATTTTATGTTGCATTTGTTTAACTCTGCAAAGCTGTGTCATTTTGCCTGTCTAAAATACCTGATAGTCTAATAAAGACCTGAATGTCCAATAGTGAGGCAGGAGAAAGGATAGGTGGGACTGGAAGTCAGATATAACAAAAGAAGGATAAATCTGGGAGACAAAGAAGAAAGAGCAAAAGAACAAGGAGAGGAGGATGCCAGCCACACAGCCAGCCATGGAATAAGAGTGAAAGTAAGATATACAGAAGTAAGAAAAGGAAAAAACCCAGAGGCAAAAAGTAGATGTGATAATTTAAGAAAAGCTGGCTAGAAACAAGCCAAGCTAAGGCCGGGCATTTATAGTTAAGAATAAGCCTCCATGTGTAATTTTTATGGGAGCTGGGTGGTGGGCCCCTAAAGTGCTAAGAATAAAAAAAAATAAAACCAACAACAGCTGTGTTGTTGTGTTTTTCCTACATAACTATTCTTTATCCCCTTTGCTCATCTCCCTGTGTCTCCCAGCCTCTAATGATCTTGAAACATTAGATAATTTTAAGATTTAGTTTTTGGAATTCTTCTGAGTCTACACTCATGACTCTTCTAGCTTGCCAACTTTAAACACCACATCTGTCCTTGGCACCTCCCATGTATGTGTCCTTAATGCCAACCTCTCCCCAAAGTCCACACCCAGAAATGGACCTTCTGAGTGTTTATCTCCCCCTTGGCATTTGGTTTACAGTATCAAAAACTGAATTCCTGACTCCATGCTTCCCCAGGATCCACCTGGGTCCTGCCTTCCCATTCTTGGGGGATGACGTTCAGTCAAGCCATCCCCGACACCAAACCCTGATTCGTTCTCTCTCTACTGCAGCTGTGGCTCTTGGCCCCGCCCTTCAAGATGAGTCCACAGTCCCACCTCTTCCTGCCACTCATCACTGCTGCAGGAGGCCAGCTGCAGCCTGTTCTCAATGCTGTGCCTAGCACAACCCCTTGGATCCTTTCAAGGCACTAGGTCATGTGAAACCCATGTCTCTCTCCTCACAGAATGGTTCAGAATCCTCAGCAGCTTTCCAGGCCCCGAATCACCTGATGGCTCTGTCTCCTCCCCCTCCCCTCCACTCTTCCAGCCTTCCCTTTGTTCCTGCTGTGTTAGAAAGCCACAGCCCTTGCTCTTCTCTCTGCTCTCGAAATATTTCCCCATAGCCTCAGTCTGGCCTCACTTTAAGACTCCCCTGATCGGCCTGAGAAAACCAGTAATTTTCCCACCCCACATCCATTATACATTAGCCCACTGTTTCTATGCACCTTGGTTTGTATTTGCCATTTTGTCCTTTCCTAAATGGGAGCAAAATGAGAAAAGAGCTCACCCTGATGTGTTCAGTTAGTGCGACACATACATAGAACAGTTGCCTGGCCTCAGAGAAGAGCTGTTGAATGAATGAATGGATGAAATGAGTGAGTCACTGAGCACACAAATGGAAGAACTGACTGCAGACTAGAGTGCTGTCTATATAATGTTCTCATACATCATGATGTCCACCCCCACCAGCCCTGGGAATTATCGCCTTGACCTTAGAGTTCTCCTCACCTTAGCACCTTTCTTCCTGTTATGGAAACGGCCGTCTGTTACCCTGCTTTCTCTTGTTTGTATTGTTCACTAAAGAAAAGGCCAATTTTCTCTTTAAAAAGATGCCTAACGTTAACTGTCATGGATCTCTGGGGAAAGGACAAGCACAAAGGTCACGGGACATTGATCTGTCTGGGGGTGTCCTCTAGTGTGAAGATGACTTGGCAGAGAAGAGGAGGAGCAATGAAGTTCTGCGCAGGGCCATCGAGACCTACCAGGAGGCCGCCAGCCTGCCCGACGCCCCCACAGACCTGGTGAAGCTGAGCTTGAAGCGACGCTCAGAAAGACAGCAGTTTCTAGGTGAGAAGCAGAGTGCCAGCTTGGTAAGAGATGGCACATGTCCACCTGTGGTGGCAAGAACATGGTACCTCCTCAAAGTCAGGGTGTTTAGGAAGAAGCCTCGCTTTACAATTAGCTTCTGCTAACTTGTGTGTCTTAAACAGACTTTTTCTGCATTTAACCAATCCTGACCTCAGTAATTTTGTACATGTGTGTATGTGGGGGGTATGTGTGCCTGTCTATACACTCACATGTGTATGTGTGCATGTACAGAAACAAGTATCTGTGAACATCCAGGCCAAAGGAAAACCTAGGTGCCATCTCCCCTTATTTTCTAAGGAGGGTCTTCACTGGCCTGGGGCTCTTCATAAGCCTAGCCTTGCTGGCTTGATAGTCCCAAGGATCTGCCTGTCTCCGCCTGCCAAGCACAGGGATTACAAGCCTGCACCACCCCGTGTGGCCTTTTCACTTGGATTCTGGGTCTCACACTCAGGTCTTTGTTCTTGCAAAGCTGGCCAGCATACCAGTGATTGAGCTTTTCTCAAACAAGTGTACAAGACTGACAGTCCCTGAGCAAAGACACCCAAGGTTGTCCTCTGGCCTCTGTTTGCATACACACATGCACATATAAACATATACAAAATCATTGTGGATTTTTGCATTCACTTTGATTTCTTTGAGAATTTGTTAAAATATTATTCAACTTAGAATTATGGATTTCTTTGATTCTCTCTTAGTTTTTATACCAGGAGATTCTCTTGCCTCCTAGCCCTAGATCAAGGTCACTTGTAAAGATGTCAGACCTCTCAGAGGAGTTCTTCCATGTTTAGTGTGATCTTTTCTGCTGAAGTGAGAATGAGGCAGGGTCACATGAGGAGCCTCTGAGGCGACTAGTCAGAGATCCTGGAACTGCAGGGAGATGAAATTGCCTCGCAGTAGAACAGGGGACCAGGACAGAGAGTGGAAGGGACAGGCAGCAGGTGTCTGCACTGTTGGCATCATTGACAGGAGAAATTCCAAGGCAGAAGGAAAGCTTGAGCCTAGGTGGACTGGCGGGGAGACCGAAGTGGACAGAAAAGAAACGGATTCCCGGTGAGGTAGTTTTTCCCAAGTGCTTGTCTTAGCACTTTCTCTTCATTTGAACTTTATGCTTCCAGTTGTGACAGAGAGCATTGATGGTGGGCCCAGACTGTTTCCCTGAAAAGCTGCGAAGTCAGCAGCAGCTGGGATTTCCCCGAGCTGTGTGGTGCACCTTAGCCTGTTGTCCACCAGAGGCTCCCATAGTACCGGAAGATGTGTCCTCTGCTCTTTAGATCAGTACTGAGAGACAGTGACATCTGTTAGTTACAGACGGCATCCGCAGTGAAGCCCTGTTCATGTCCTTCAGTGCCCGTTTAAGTTTTCTACTGACTGTTCAACCCTAAGTTGGACTTTTCATTATCTACCCTTTACCTAAAAATTTTAAAGCTAATAAACCAAAATTATTTCAGCAGAACAATTTTTCTAAGGAATTAGAAAACTGACATTTTTTTTTTGAAGAAGGAATTTAAGATAAAAATATAAATGTGCATTGACTCAGGAAATAAGCCTGTCTTTACATTTTATGATTGATGTTGTATTTAGTATCTACATATAGCAATTATGTATAGCATTATAACTATGCTGCTCGGGGCTTAAGAATCCATTCATAGATGAAGTCAGGTGTGAGCTGTTTCTCAGGCTCTGTTGAGTCTGCTCTCATGGTTTGTATTCTCAGTTCAAAGGAGCACATAATATTTTTATTTCTGTTCATCGTTTTTCCAACATCAGGTCACATGAGAGGTTCCCTGCTTACCCTGCAGAGACTAGTTCAGCTGTTTCCTGGTGATACTACATTAAAAAACGACCTTGGCGTGGGATACCTCTTGATGGGAGACAATGACAGCGCCAAGAAGGTTTATGAAGAGGTAAGCACCGGTCTTCCGCGGCCACTGGTTATCTTGTACAGTAAGTTCAGGTGCTGATGGGAAATGACATGCACTGTGCACTGCGTCATGTTCTTATTTTCAGTGAAACAGCATGTAAGTTATTATGTCTTAGCTATTCTGGACTTAGTTTCCTCATTTCTCTTTCATTACCCCACCCCGTCCTAGACCCAGAATGTCACATCTAGCACAGGCTGACTTGATGGCAGTCCTCCTGCCTCAGCCTTCCAACTGCTGACATGCCCAATTTTTCTGTTTTTCTTTATTGGAATGTCTCCATTGTACAGAGTGGCAAGTCCCAGAAAGACTATTCAAGTAAACATACACATTGACCCCATTCACCCCTGTATCTTGATTGGAACAATTTAAAAGTTATTGTAACATTTTTAAAGCTTCATTTTTTTATCAGTCTATAGACAACTTTCTAAGGGTTTTCTTAGAAAGGATAGGAACATGAATGAAGTTAATAATGAGGTTAATAAATGAAAAAAATTAAAATCTTTTCAAGTTTTGCAGTATGAGCCTCTCAGGCAAAAGTAGTGGATTATACTGTTTTCAAAGGGCATTGATGTTCCCATCCTCTGGCCAGGGTGGCTTTCAAAGGATTTCTGCATTACAGTGGACATTTTATTAGATGACCTCTAAGTCACAAGCAACTATAAAACCTAGAAAACTGGCTCCTTTAGGCAGTGAGGGAATTTATTTGGCACAAAGCAAACAGGATGAACTTTGAGGCAGGAGAAAGCTAACCCCTGTAAAACAAGGGTGAAATGGGTGATTGTTATTCCTTAACTTAGGTCTCTGGATCAGTGGCCTCCAAGCTGCTTCCCTTACAAGGAAGTGCTACTACAGTGAGCCAGCTGTGCGGGAGGAGGGGCTCTTTTCTGTGGGACGCTGTCAACAGCTGCAGTCTGACCCTAGTCCAGAGACAGGGTCCACTCACAGAGTCAACAGCAGCGGTCCCACCTCAGTCCAGAGATGGGGTCCACTCACAGAGTCAACAGCAGCGGACTGACCCTAGTCCAGAGACGGGGTCCACTCACAGAGTGAACAGCAGCGGACTGACCCTAGTCCAGAGATGGGGTCCACTCACAGAGTGAACAGTAGCGGTCCCACCTCAGTCCAGAGACGGGGTCCACTCACAGAGTCAACAGCCGCGGTCTGACCCTAGTCCAGAGACGGGGTCCACTCACAGAGTCAACAGCAGCGGACTGACCCTAGTCCAGAGACGGGGTCCACTCACGGAGTCAACAGCAGTGGTCCCACCTCAGTCCAGAGACAGGGTCCACTCACAGAGTCAACAGCCGCGGTCTGACCCTAGTCCAGAGACGGGGTCCACTCACAGAGTCAACAGCCGCGGTCTGACCTCAGTCCGGAGACGGGGTCCACTCACAGAGTCAACAGCAGCGGACCCACCTCAGTCCAGAGACGGGGTCCACTCACAGAGTCAACAGCAGTGGTCCCACCTCAGTCCAGAGACGGGGTCCACTCACAGAGTCAACAGCAGCGGACCCACCTCAGTCCAGAGACGGGGTCCACTCAGAGAGTCAACAGCAGCGGACCCACCTCAGTCCAGAGACGGGGTCCACTCACAGAGTGGTTTTTGCCTCTCTTCCTGTTGGCACTTCACTGAAAACGTGTTAAATTGTGAAGCTATTGTCTTTCTGCCCTTGGAATCATCTTTATCGTTTTTGAGAGAGCAGAAATTTACCCTTGGCTTTTTATGGCATCATTAATACCTGCACGGGTGGATTGAGAGCATTGCAGATTGCGCTGTCTAGGAAAGCCCCGCACCAGGCTGTAAGATAGTCCCATGTGGACATGGTGTCTGCTGACGTACCCCGTGTCCTCCACCCTGCAGAGTTTGGTTAATGGAAACATCGTGTCTCAGTGATTCAGGACCATGTGATTCTCAAAATGAACAAATCATCAGAGACACAAAAAGAGAAATACAGTGATCCTTCCTACTTGTATGTCCCTCCTTCCCACACTCTCTTCTTCTTTCCTGTCCTTGTAAAATCCCAGGGAAGTCCTGCCTGGGTGCCACGCACACACGAGGTCACATCGAGCTTCAGTGCATGCTGACAGGCAATCTGACTGCATTTCTCCTTAGTCACCCTCTAAAACCCTTCCCTGAGTGAACTCAGTCCTCCTACCTGACACTGGGCCTCGCAAATGTGAAGCATTTGTCTTCACCTTGAAAAATAAAATTATGTTGCTTACACACCCGAGACCACAGTCTCTCCTGGCTGAACATACTGGGGATGCACAAAGCTCCAAATATTGCTATATCACAAAATGATTGTTTTCTTTTAAAAGAGCATTAATACATTGAAGATATGTGGGGTTCTGCTTTTCTTTCTTCCTCTTACTTCTGAGTTAATGAGCTGTGGCTAATGGATACTCTTTCCCTAACCAAAGGCCTGGTGTATTTATCTCTTTTCCCAAGCTCAGTTCAGAAACTGATACCAGGTTGCATATTTTTCTTCACATTGATTTTGGAGTACACTTATGAAAATCGTTGTGCGATCCTATTTTTAGTTTTTCTGTTTTTGTTTTCAGCACAGAGACCAGCTTTCCAGAGGTTCCGTAGAAACTGCTCCCATCTGTAGCTTTTGGAGGCTCCTCCCACATCTCCTTGCCAGGGCAGTGACACTGCCGCCAGCTTAGGATCCCACCCCAGCATCATCATTCCATCTCTTTGCTGCCCCCACCCCCCACCCCCCCCACCCCGTGCAGATCCACCTCGCGGCCAGCCCACATTGCCTAAGTGCACACACACACCAGCTCAGGGCCTGAGCTTAGTGAAGCAACACCGAGTGAGTCTTCACGGAGTTTCCAGTCTGGGGCCAGCTCACCTCTTGTCCCTGTGGTCTTCCCCTTCCCAGTGCCTTCACCCAGACTCTGGTCACCTTTGCTTGAACTGGACCCGATTCTTCTGCAGGGTTGCTGTCTTTCGACCTTTATCTACCCCACCTGACCGTAGCTCTCAGCTACTGTGTACCCTGCCAGGCCAAAGAAGTCAATCAAATGTTTGGAGTTGTTTATAGAGTTAGATATTATCTATAATACATACTTTATAAAAAAGTGCAGGCCCTCCAAATAAGACGTTAAGCTCAAATGAAATATTTAGAGTGCTTTCCAAATTTTTCTGATCTGACCAAAATCCCTTCACTCTCACTAAAATGTTTCTGTTCCAGTCTCATCACTGTGAAGTGCTGCTCATGGTTTGGTAATAGCCATGGAGAGACGCATCCATGGTGAATGCATTCTAAGTGTTCATCCAGAGTGGATGCCTAAACATGAAGGTAGCACTTAACACGGCGTGTATGCTACACTACAGTGCTGCTTTGCGCCATCATTAAGGGAGATGAGGGTTATTGGAGCAGAAGTACTGTGGTACTTGTAGCAGTCAGTGTGGTGATAGAGTAAATACTGAGTAACAGTCAGATAGCATATACAGTGTGGATATGCTGATTCACATCCCAGGCAAGATAGAGCATAATTTAACATTTTCTCCTGTGACTCACAGTGATACACAATTTAAAACAGGCATTCTTTGTATCTGGAGTTTTCCATTTAATATTCTTTGGTCATAATTGACTGTGGGAAATGAACTATTGGATAAAGGAAAATAGGTGGTGTTTTAAAAGTTCTGAGCTGGACAGTGGTGGTGCACACCTTTAATCCCAGCACTTGGGAGGCAGAGCCAGGTGGATCTCTATGAGTTTGAGGCCTGCCTGGTCTACAGAGCGAGTTCCAGGACAGGCTCCAAAAGCTACACAGAGAAATCCTGTCTCGAAAAACTAAAAAAAAAAAGTTTTGAAATATTCCTTGCAGTGAGTTTTTACTGGGGGTAAAAATGTAGATAGAGTTTTTTGAGTTTTTGAGCTAGGGGGTATTGTGAGTATAAACATTTTGTGGTAAAAGATGCCTTTGGCTTGCTGTGTGTGAGCAGCAAGGAGTCCAGTGTGTCTCAGAAGAGCAGATGGAAGAGGCAAGAGCAGAGAGAGGCTGTAGAAGTAGTTCCTCAAATGAGGCCGTCCATGCTGAGTAAGATGAACCTATGAAAGGGTCAGGTCTAACCTTGAGTTTAAATGGTCTCCCATGTGGCCCCATGTAGAGAATTAACAGCAGGGGTGCAACGTGTCAGCAGCTGAGAGGGTCTTCTAGGTAGGTACAAAAGAGAGGAGATTCTATCTAGTTTGGTAGCAAGTAAAGAAAGTGTTGCATATCACAATTTTAATATGCCTTAAAGGTCATGGTGGCTTGAAGTGGGAGTGAGTGAGGTATAGCAGCCAGTGTGAGCCAAAATCCCTGGAGTGTCGACTATCTGCAGTGGGTCCAGGATGGGTGTGGGGGCCCCTTGCTAGATACCTTGCTCTTCCTCTGTGAAGTTCCTGTGGTGGTGGTGGTGGTGGTGGTGGTGGTGGTGGTGGTGGTGGTGGTGGTGGTGACGACTTCAGTGCTTGTCCTAACTGTCTCAGAAATGGAGAGGAGAGGTACTCAGACATCATGTACACCACAAGTACCGCTCAGAGCTTCCTCATAGTCCTCTTTGTTCAAGAAATTCATTTCCTAAGCAGCTTCACAAGTTGAATGCTTTTGTGTTGATTTCTCACTGTTAATATTTAATTTAGAGGCATTTTGCAAATTTTTTATCTTTAAGTCATAATAAATGCATGTAGTGGATGAACAATGGTGTGACTTATATGAGATATCATCCACCTATATTTTATCACAGAATTTTGGATTTATTTTATTTTATTATTTTTTTTCCATTTTTATTAAGAAAATGTTTTCATTCATTTTACACAACAATCAAAGATCCCCCTCTTCCTTCCTCCCACTCCCCCAGCCTCCTCCTCCCAACCCACCCCCTACTCCCACCCACAAGAAGGCAAGACCTCCCATGGGGAGGCACATCCAGTAGAGGCAAGTCCAAGCCCTTCCCCCTGCCTCAAGGCTGCATGAGGTGTCCTGTCATAGGTAGTGGGCACCAAAAAGCCCGCTCATGCACCAGAGATTGATTCTGATCCTACTGCCAGCCCCGCTCCCAAGCAGATCAACCTCCACACTGTCTTGCCATGTAGAGGGCCTAGTTCAGAATATTGGATTTTTTTCCACCAATTTTATATTCAGTCCTTAAAATACTTAAAATCATTGCACTCCCAAGAATTTATCTTCATTCATAATTTTTAAGCTTGTTATTTCAAAATAATCTCCCACTTCCAAAAGGTTGCATAAGTAGGACACAGGTCCTCAGCCATTCTGGGCACAGCCTCAGCCCAGAATTAAAGAATTAGACTCTGGCGCTCACTAGGCAAACACACAGGCTCCCAGCATTGAAGACTCTCCAGTGTTGCTGTTCAGACCCACAGGCTCGGTGTGTTCACATCTGCTGGTATGTCAAGCCAGTTCCTCGGGTGTTTTTCACTCCCACACCTATGAGAAATCCAGGCAGCTGTGTGGTTGCAGCTGTCAAAGCCTCCTTGTCATTCAGTATGGTTATGCTTTCGGTGCGGGACAGCCTCAGGAGCAGTGCTGTGCCTCTGTGGTGATACGTGATTTCCACGGTCAAGGCAGTGTCCTGGTCATGCCACTCTAGGTGCCTTTATGATCACCATGCGTCTGCAGCAGCTCACTCAAGATTCTTTTCATGTCACACTCTGCCACTAGCTCCGGTGACCACTGATGGAGGTTTTTGTGAATGAATGGGTCCTATATGTGGAGGCATGTATATAAAGCAATGTGTAATAACCCTCCAGAGTTCTCTTTAGGCACAAAAATCCAGAGTGATTTCCTCTCATCACTGAAAACCTCTGAAGTCATATCAGTTGGCAGGCATTTTTCTGATTGCGGTGTTAAAGCCATGCTCTAGCAGTTCCTGCCTTCTCATTCACAACTTTATTCAGTGAGTAAGTGTGCAAAGCATCTTGAGTTGAGAGGCAGTGAATGTGTTTTGTTTAATGATAGCGGTGAGACAAAGCGCAACCGCCGTGTTTGAAGCTGTAACATCATAATCCATCCGAAGTACAGAAAAACTAATTAGAATTTGTTTTGACACTCACTTGTACAGTTTCTTCTCTGTCACAATAGTGCTTTGTTTTCTTTGAATTAGGTTCTGAATGTGACACCCAATGATGGCTTTGCTAAAGTGCACTACGGCTTCATCCTGAAGGCACAGAACAAGATAGCTGAGAGTATTCCCTACCTAAAGGTATCTGCCATGGTCCTCTTCATCTGCTCACTTCCTGGAATACTTGAGACCCCCTTTGGTTATGGCTTCTCCGTGTGGCTTCTACTTGGTTGACATGCATTACTGAGGCGTCCTAGTATCTGAGTGCATGCTTCATAGTCCTAGTATCTGAGTGCATGCTTCATAGGCAGCATGTGCCTAGACCCTGACTGAATGTCCAGAGTCACCAACCACGTGAGGAGCTTTGTTTGCCATCACTGTTGCCAAAATTGCCAACAGAATCCATTTAAGAAACGTTTTGTTTGGGCTCTTAGTCTCTGGGAGTTGCTCTGCCCTCGTGGGGATGGCACGGCAGAGCTCCTCGGGTGGCAGAAACGTGTGACAGCGGCTTGTTCACGTTGTTATCCCTGACCACTAATCAAAGCCCAGGAGTGGGAAGTAGAGGCCGAATACCTCCAAGGCCTGGCCCTGGTGACCTACTCCTCAAGCAAGGTTCCACAAGCTCCCAAAACAGTGCCTCATGCTAGAGACAGCACAGGGGCCCGCTGGAGATGCCTCAGACTTCATTAACGACATGAGCAGACACGGTTTGGAAAAGACTTTAGGAAGACACTCCTAAAACTAAGGTCGTTATAAAGTGCTTTTACTTTTAATTAGCATTCACAATTATCTAAAATGACAGATTTCATTGTGATATTTACATATGGTACAGAGCATACATTGGCCATTCATTCCTCCCTAGTATAGTTTTTATATATTGGCAAAAAGTAGACAAAGTTCATTGATAGTCTCTTAAACTATAGACAGTGTGCTAAGTGCTTTTTTCACAAATTAATTAGTATGGAGTCTACTCTAAAGGGCTCCAGCTGCCTCCATGGGCGTGTAGACTAGATAGGCTTGAAAGCCAAGGCTTGGCTAATGACTCAAAGTCCTAAAATACAAGGTTGCTTTTTCTACCATATTAAACTGAAGCCTGGACAGTTTACCAGAATCACACTTGGTCTTGGTCAGGGCTATCACAGAAAATTCTTGCTGTAATAGAAATATCACTTATGTGTATTACTCATACCAGCCACGTGAGACCACTCAACATCTAAAATGTGGCTACTATGACTGAGGAAGAGAATTCAAGTCTATTTAAGTTCCATTTGTTTTTGTTCGAATAGTAACAGTATGGTGGTTAAGAGTAAGCTCTGCTACAGGCAAGAGCTACAGTGTGCACAGGTAGCTGATGAGAGCTTCCAGCCCTATTACAGGGCTGGCTTCTGTGACGCTTCAGACAATTCTCGTTGCTGCAATTGTCGCCTTTCTGAAGAATTCCCACGTTGTGTGCAGTCACACAGACTTGTAGTTTCCTATTTGGCCCACAACGCTGGGGCGTAGAGCTGAGCAGTGGTGCCCCTCTAGATGGCATGGATTCTCATCTGTCCCGGGTATCATCAGACACTGCAGACTTTCCATTCTTTCCAGGGCCATGTGGACATGTGCACTGCTCTGATTTAAAGGCTCCCCCTTCTCCTTTCACTCTGGAGGCTGATAGTGCTCTCCCATCTTCGTTGTTAGGAAAAGAAGATCTAGAGCAGATGTTTAACACACAAGGATGTTCCATGCCTGTGTCAGTCTGTTGTGTTAGATGCTGTTTTCCCAACACTGCAATAACATTTCTTCTGGGAGAAGATAATAACCTTTAAGAGAGAGAGTGTGTGTGTGTGTGTGTGTGTGTGTGTATATTTTTAACCATGGGTATGTGGAGCATGTGCAAACACATCATGTACATGTACAACTTGCAGGAACGGGCTCTCTCCTTGCAACACGTGGACCTGAAACTCAAACTCAGATCCTCAGGCTTGGCAGCCAGGGCCCCACCCACTGAGCCACCTTGCCAGCCTTTTGTGGGGAGACCTCAAAGATGCAAATTTTCAGAAAAGAAGTCCTTGCCATTAAACTAGTTCAAATTTTTGTTCAACTTTTTGCTTTTCCATGCTTATTCTCTTACTATTTTCCTTTTTTTTAAACAACAACAACAAAAAATCTCAATTCTAGTGCTTGGATGAAAAGTGGGAAGAAATAGCAAAGTGTTTCACAATAGAAATTGTTCAGTAAAAATTACGTATGTCAAAATTCCAGTTGGCTTGAATCCTGTAAATTTAGTAAGAAGTTTCATTAACTACTTGTGACACATTTGTTTGGGGTAGAAAGAAATATCACTTACACTCTGACTGTCATCACTTGAAACAAGAACAGTGCAGTGTTTGGGTTCAGGGATAAAAAGACTCTAGGTGGCATATGGTCAGACTTGGAGAGCAAAATAAATGGGAAAATACCCTGCCAGAGAAATCATCTGCAGGATTGAAAAATGATTGCTCCCACTGTAGAAGTACACAGTGCATCCTAATTTATGGGCTCTTAGGTAATGATAGCTGTATTGTTAAATTTCGATCGATAATCCCATTTTTACACTGTAAAATGTGGACCACCCTCACTGTCAGATTTTAATAATGACATATAATTTTCAGGATCTTAGGTTTTCCTATGAGATATTGTAGTTCATACATAAGGAGCATCTACCTAAAACAAGGAATGAGAGCTCAAATGTCACCCTTCACATGGTAACACTGTCCTCTTCCAGGAAGGAATCGAATCCGGGGATCCTGGCACAGACGATGGCCGGTTTTATTTCCACTTGGGAGATGCCATGCAGAGGGTCGGGAACAAAGAGGTACCTTTGACTGGGTTTGTGACTTTATTCCAGTAGCTAATGCAGTGGGGAGGGATTATTCCTTCTAGGAACCAATTAGAACTTCACAAACATTTTTAGCATAAATTATTAAAGCAGTATTCTTATAAGATATTTGGGATATGAATTTTACTATTTTTTGTTTACCAAGGTATCAAATATGTAATCTGAAAAATGCCTCTTTTGGTGTGTGTGTATGTGTACATGTGCGTGCCTCTGTGTGTGTGTCTGTGTACATGCGCATGCCTGTGTGTCAGTGTGTATCTATGAAAGGTAAATGCTGCCTTGGAAAAGTATCTTTGAAATCAAAGAATAAAGAGGTCTATAAAGTTGTTTTAATTTTTAAAAACATTTTCAGAGTTTAATTTTTGTTTTGTTTTGGGAATTTCTGCAGTAGTTGTTTTTAGAACTATTTGACTAATCCCTAAGTGCCATGGTCTTCATGGTTAACTATGTAATTTTCATATTAGATTTAAGCTGATCATTTGTAGCTGGGGAATGACAGGTACCAACACACATACACACACACACACACACACACACACACACACACACACACACACACACACTGTTGTAACTAAAACAAGTGGCATATTATCTTTATGACTACCTTTTTCCTGAGTACAGTTGTCAGCTTGTATAAACATGACGTTAGTCATGAAATCATGTACCATGAATTTCTAGCCTTATTCCAGTCCACTGTGACTTACATGCCAATAAACAACGAGTCCCACCTCTTCCATCCTGTACCATCGTAGGAATTCTAACTCAGCTGTCTCCAGAATCTGAAGATAAAAGCACAAATGAGACAGTGACTCTTTGTAACCATTGCCTTCCATATGTGACATCTAAGGACAACACAGCTTCCAATTTCTAAATTTAGTAAGAATAGAAGACCCCCTGGGCACCTGAAAACTCAGAAGCAAGGGGGTTCGGTTGTGACGATGTAGTCTCCTGCAAGAAACATGAAGAATTCAGAGCAGAAGAGGTTTAGATGATTGACATTATTTCCTTTCTACATTTCTATTCTCGAGCACTCCCCCCTTTAACCTACCAATCATTTGACTAAAATAGAACAAGCCACTAGAAGTGAAGGAAAGATGGCAGAAGACATTGCTGATGGGTAGTCATTATTTTGTTCCTTCGTGATTTTTGATGTAAAAAGAACCCTCCTTTGAATGAGAAGGATAAGAAAATGTCTGCCACAGTATCCAACATTGGGTAAAAATTCATGTTCAACTACTGTAAATATAATTGTCACTAATTAATTTATCTTTGAACATTTCACAGTACAGGGCAAAGACAGATAAAAGAAATTACTTTATCTCCTATCTTAGATGAAAACAGCTCTTACTTCAAGGACAATGAATTCACTACTGAACACTTGTTATGAGTCTGGTATTTAAGCCTGGGGGACTGTTCTACCAGCATAATTATCATTAATATGCAAAGAACAGCACAGTTCCTGAATTTGGAAAGTTCAAGAGGATTCATCCTTACAGGGAACAGAAGCAAGCCCAGAGAAGCCCCGTGTTAGTGTAGGCCAGTATTAGGTGTTGAGTTAGAGCTTACCTACTGGGAAGCGGCTGCCTTCTGTGCCTTCATCCATGGAGCTCACTCCCATCCTGAAAGAGGATGGACGTGTGAGAGGCAAGCCTACAGCCTCTGCCGCAGGGCTGGTGGGAAAATGGACATTAATGAACGTTTTTGCTAGTATGGAGGAGACAGAAAGGAAGACAAGCCATGGCAGCCCTGCAGCGGTCAAGGTCCAGGGCTCTCTAACTTCAGTCCGAGTGCTGGTTTCACATCTAGTCTCATTCTCCAAGTGCCATACAGGTTCACGTGCAGTTTGAGGGCACTGCGTGGAGGTCACACAGCAAGCCCCCCTTTCTCCTCTGAGCTATTTTCCTCCCAAATTCTGTCTCTGGTTCCTTTATTGCCAACTTCTGTTTCAAAATTGGGGTCAGCCTTGGCTCCTCCCTCTTGTCATCCCTTCCCGAGGGCCAGTTCTAAGGAACAGGCTTCCTGGGCTCATTGGTAGTCTCTGTTCAGGCCATGTTAGTTCCCATCTCTTGTCAGCCTCCTTGGTAATGGTTGTAAGAACCTGGTTGTTGCTTCTTACATTGGTTTCATTTTCTGCATGGCCACCTTAATCTCAAAACATCTGTGGTTCAAAATAAAAGAAAGCCTTATTTCCATGCAATGTCATTTACAGTTCCACACAGGCAAGTTTCAATCCAGTGTTCTTACCAGAAGCGTGTCTCCCATTCATAGTGTACAGACACTCCAGACAGACCGCTTGGGGTCCATCACTCGGGGTCCATCCATCATCACACAGATTTCTGAATCAGAATCTCTCTCTCTCTCTCTCTCTCTCTCTCTCTCTCTCTCTCTCTCTCTCTCTCTC